CTTCAGGCCGTCGTTCAAGTTTCTCAAGATTTTCAGGGTCAAGAGGATCAAAAGATTGAGATCATGGATCTTGGGAGTCTTGAAGTTGGGACATTGTCAGTTATGGCAGGCTTGAGCTCATTCTTTCTTATAACATCGGCTCTGGCTAGCTTGCTGGCTTGAGTTCATTAGTTCTTTTCCTCTTTTCCTTGTAAGATGTGGATTTTCTTGCCCCATGTGAAGAGTTGTACAAAGAACATTTTCTTTAACAATTCCAAAGTCTCTCTCTGAGTTGGTGCCATTCAAGAGTATCTTCTGAGTGCTTAGCTGTCTGTCTCAAACTCTATGTTGGTCGTCCCAGATACAATTGGTTCCAACAATTATCAAAATGATAATCCTCGGAGGGAATAATTGGATACAAATTGAATTTAGCTTAAGCTTTCCATATGAGCCTGAATGTCCTGTTGGATTCTCTGAGTGTAGTCCATTGGAAGAATTTCCCATCGAGCATCATCTTCAATTTTTGGCCAAATCTCTGGAGGAATTGTTCGATTTGTTTCTACCATTTTTCTTTGGAATGTTTTGAAATCTTAAGGGTATCTTTCCCATTCTTTGTGAAGATTGAATGGCTGGACTGCATATTCTCGAATATGAGAGAGATGTTGATAGTATCATGATTCAGTAAAATAACCTCGTCTTTGGAATACTATGATTACATGAACATTAATAGATGAAGTTCTAAAATCTTTGAATTTTAGATAAAAAATTTGAAACTTTTCTCTCCAATGTGAGAGAGGATAAAACCATTCAAAAAATATTATAACTTCATTGTTTGAATGAGAAATGAATTCTAGGTAATCCTTTCAAAGTTGTGAAGTTTTTTCTGAAAGCCATGAAACCATGATATCAACATTAAAACAGATTGCAACTTGATATGTCTCAAGAAGATACCATAAAAAACACGAAAGTTCTTTCAAAAACTTTTCTTCAATTTGTCTTGGATTAAATAGAAGAGGTTTAAAAATGGATATTCTGGATGAAAGCCAAGTCCACCAGGAAGGTGGATCCCATTTTGTCTAATAACAATGGATTAATATTTTAGCATGAGTTCCTTCGATCTTGACTGGATGGTTTGATTTCTAAAGAGAGTTTGAAGTTCAGGAGGGAAGTTTTGAATAGTTAGATTTTGTGAGGATGGGTTTGAGGATGGATTCATCATGCAGATGGTAGGGATTTGTGACTGAATAGGAGGTTTTGTTCTGGAGAGTAAATAAGGTAAAAGATTGTGTTTGCCTTTGATGTGTTTGACTTCAAAGTCAAAATTGGAAAACCATTTTGCCCATCTTAAAAGTTGTGAATTTGTAATCTGGTTCTTTTTGAAATTGAGCATTTGAGGAAATGCCTTCATGTCCATTTCTACCAGAAATTTGTGACCAATAAGATGGAATTGAGACTTTTCTATTCCCCATTTTACTCCAAGAATCTCCTCGAATGTTGAATGGTAATTCTTCTCAGATTCTTTGAACATAGCACTCTTGTAGCCACAAATTATTCTTTCACCATCTTTTTCTTCTAAAAGCATTGCTCCCTAGTATAAATTACTTGCATCCGTTTGTAGAATTCTTTTTCCATCAATGGGAATTTTTAGTGCCGGAAGGCTATGGAATTCTTGTTTGATTCTTTTGATGGCCCGAGTTTGTCTAGGTGACCATTGTGGAGGGTTTTTCTTGAGCATCTCATCTAAAGGTCGTATAATAGGAGCCAACTGTTTGAAAAAGTCTATCATGTAGTTTACTACACCAAGAAATTGTTGGACCTGTTGTTTTGTTAAATTCTCATCGGCAAATTTGAGGAGCTCTTCAGTAATGTGTGGCTGGAGTGAATAGCTACCATTTTTTATATGCATCTCGAGAAAATCAATTTTAGATATTGCGATGATCATCTTTTTCTGTGATAGCATGATCCCATATTTTGTGACAATTTCTATGAACCTTTGGAATAGCAGCTCATGGATATCCTTATTTTTAGAGAACAATAGTATATCATCAATATAAATCATTGTTGTTTTTAGTAGTGGCTGAAAGATTTTAACCATTGTCTTTTGAAATAATGAAGGAGCCGATTTCAGCCCAAAAGGCATAACCGTCCACTGAAAATGTTGATTAGGTACACAGAATGCTGTTTGTGTCTTTCATCTGGTTTGACCCCTAATTGACAGAAACCCACTTTCAGATCAAATTTTGAAAAAATCTTTACTTTTGCCAGGTTTGCAAACATAATTTTTCTATTGGGGAGAGGAAACTTATCATCTGCAAGAAAATGATTCAGCGGCTTATAGTCAATGACAAGTCTTACCTTTCCTCTGATTTGCTCATTTATTTTGTTAAACATAAAATGCTTGACATGCCCACCGTGATGTAGTGGGTTTTATGAGTATTTCTGACTATAATTGAGCCAATTCTTTTATGGTAAGCTCCAAATGTTTAGGACTCATCCCCGTGTGACTCGCTTGTGTTGGATTGACATCCTCATTGTTTTTGAAAGGCAATGTTATAAAGAAGTTTGGGTTTTTCCAAAGAGGATTTGTGCATTTGGTAAGGAATTCTGTATGAGATTTTGTACAACAATCTCTTACAAGAGTTTCTGTTATAGTTGGTATTGTGAGGGTAAAATATGTGATTGGTTCAATATAATGGATAAAGTAGGATTTGAATTTGAGTCCATTTGAAGAGGTCTAACCCGTCTTTCCCATAACTGTTTGATAACATCAAAATCAATAATAAGATCTTTTCCTGGTAATGATGATCCAAGTAGTTTATGAGAAATATTTAGCTCATGGAAGAATTGGAGTGTTATTGGTTTACTGATAAGTTCTGTGGCAAAGTACTCATTATTGGCTACTTGAAAGATTTTTTGGTAGGGTTTCCACATGTTTTCTGGGAGTACGGTCGCGTTAAGAATTGAGAATGCTGCTCCTGTATCGAGTAATGCTGCAACTGTAATAGGTCTTTCATACTTTTCGGGAAAGAGCTTGATTTCAATCATTGGTATTGCCAAGGAAAGATTTATAACCTGCATTCTAAAACATTGCTATCTAATACCATGAGTATCATTATGGTATTCAAGAGCGAAAATGGTTTCCGGTGATTGTTCTTCTTCTTCTGAAAACATTGACTCTAAGTCCTCTTCATCGAGATCAACTTGAGTTGCCGAAAGGATCTGATTGAGAATTTTGCCTTTTCTTTTATTAGAACAACTTTTTGCAAAATGATCTTTTTTTTCACAAATAAAACATCCGTTTTCCTTCCTTGATGAAATTTTTTTCCTAAAAAATCTCTGTTTGGAAGGAAACTTGAAAAATCTCTATCTTTTCTTGAAACTTCTGGTTCTGAATTTTTTAGGCTTTGAGCATTCACATCCTCTTTCTAGATTTCTGCATTTTATTTTCAAATTTGCTTGATCACAGGCTTTTTCAAATTGTTTTCCATTCATGTTAAAATCTCTGAAGAACTCTCTTTGGTTACAAAGTTTCTTCAAAGTTTTTAATACCCAATTGTGAAGCTCTCCAATAGATGTCTGAGATAGTGCCTGTCCTTTCAGTAACGAAGCTTTATGTCCATATTGAAAAACTAAAAGGAGACACTTGGGCGATTAAGGAAAGGGAGAAAAAAAAAATAATTCAATAAATAATATTACACATATATAAACTCTAAACTTTTCTTATTTTTTAGCCATTGTTTGACCCACATTATTTTTATATGAATGCATTTTCGAATAGTGTATTGATGAAAAATGTGTAATTAAAAAATAAAGAAAAGTTTTGAATTTGCGTATAATATTATTTTATTAAAGAACGTATGATTGAAATGATATCAAATTACATTTTAAAAATTTATTTTTGTACAAAATGTGGCTCAAACAGGGTCTTAATCACATATTCTCCAAAACTCACTATTCTAAAACACATATTTCCTAAAATTTGCTTACAATGGAGCCCAAATAGGTGCTAAATATAGATTGGTGACTTACCGAATATACTTAAAATAAAAGTAAAATGGTAGAAGATTGAAATGAAACTGTCGAGACTGAATCGAATTCTTTTTTATTAAGAAGATAATATTTTGCATTGATGCTAATAAACCTCAATACTCACCTCTAAAAATATACAGATTACGTCTCATAATAGTAGTATTCCAATTACAAGACCAGCAAACTTATCGATATTTTTGAACTGTCTGTTGAGAACAGACTAAAACTGAAATTTGCAAAAACTTTATGGACTAGAATGAATGTATAAAGTTCAGAGTATAGTAGCTGCCGTCGAAACCAGGTTTAGAACAACACTGGCATGCTATTGACTATGGTTACACTTATGATTCTTGTAGAAATTAATAAGATTTTATCCTCTTCCTTTAACTCATTTTCACTTGCTTCAACTTGTTAAATTGCGATCTTATTTTCGTGAATATGATCATGACAGTTATTATTTTCCTTTTAAACACTCAACACTTTGGTTTTGCGTAAAGAAATGGAATGATTTCTACTATATTCTTCCTCATAATGATATTTTAGTAATAGTTTTGACTGTGTATGAAATAGTATAGAACTTTCATTTAGAATTATTATACTTACAACCTTTCGTATAAATAGAGTTAGGGTACGTTTGGAATGGTTTTTACTTTTGTTTTTGCTTTCTATAAAAGAGTTTTTGGAGGAAATTAACTTAATTTTTGTTTGAAAACTAATTTTTAAAGTGGAAGCCACGTTGAATCAATTTTCTCTAAAAATCCTTCAATTAACAAAATCACTTTTATAAAATTAGCCAAATAAATATATAAACTTTGGATTGCAAAAATTCATTTCGACTTTTTAAAAGTAATGGCAAAAGGGCCTTATTCCTTTTTATATAAAGCTTGTGGATTTTGCTTATATCATCAAATAAACGAGGCCCAAAAGTATAATAAAGGTGTATATAGGCTGCCAAATATCCAAATTCTAACACGTTTCAGTCATGCATGGAACCAAGTGTCTCCTCCAAAAATCTTGACCTCCTCAAGTCAATTTAATTGTATGATAAGAGAAAACTAAAGAACTGAGACAGAGCTGGAGAAATGTCTAGGAGCTGGATTAGGGATGGATACAAGAACGTGGCCGATGTTTTTAGCAAAGCAGACCTAAAAAATAGGCATTTTCCCACACTGAAAGGGCATCCTGCTGCTCAACAACATGCAGAACAAGTTGTCGAATCGCACCATGCTCTTCAAGAAAACATCAAAGCACTGAAAAAAGAGTTCAAGATTTACAGATGGAACCCTGATAATCCATACCAGAAGCCATATCTTCAATCTTACTTTGTAGATCTTTCTACTTGTGGGCCCATGGTAACCCCTAAATATCCACCTCTTATTTCTGTTTATTTATAATTTAAACAGTTTATGAATACTTTCCAATCATGCTTGTAACTTATATCGTGGGTTTCAAGTGAATTTATTGATTATTTTCGTTTGTATAAATCTTGTGCCAACTACTTGTGGCACACCTAAAAGTTTTGAGGCCCGACTACACTGGTAATTCAGTGTCATGCCCTGCTAGATATTTTGGGGAGATTTTTGAGTTTGGGTACTTCATTTTCGTATTCTCTTTTCAAGTAAGTTTTAGACATAGAGCAAGTGCCAAGTGTTGATACAGGAAACTATCATTCACCTAATGAATCAACTTTTGCTGCTTTGCAAAATAAATGGTATCAAAGTCTTACAATCAACATTTATTTGGGGAAAAAAATCTTTATGAGAAATGTCTTCTATGATTTTCTCCAATGTTATTTTTAATCGTCTTTTGTAGGTTCTTGATGCATTGCAAAAGATAAAGGCAGAGGATGATTCAAGTTTGAGTTATAGGAGATCATGCAGAGAAGGAATATGTGGTTCATGTGCCATGAATATCGATGGCACCAATACGGTAGCATGCCTTAAGCCAATTGATGTAGACACTAGCAAGGCTACTTTCATCACTCCCCTTCCCCATATGTATGTTATCAAAGATTTGGTTGCTGATCTCACCAATTTCTACCAACAATACAAGTAAGATGAACTCACTCAATTAACCCTTGAAATTTATTTCCGATTAAGTACGTCGTCTATGTTATACTAGTTACGCACTCTATAATGTACTTTGCTTTAGGAATAAAATCTCACATTGAATAAAGATGAAAATATAAACAAACTTATAAGTTTTTGGCTACTCCTCTTAACAAAGTTAATATTTTAAAAGGGAATCCAAAATTCCAATAGAACTCCAAGTCTTAATATCTTATCAAAGCCCATTAAGTTCAACCGAGCAATTCGATCCGATTAAGACTCAAAAAATGAGTACTCAGATTTCAAGATTGATCCGCGTCTATATTTTCATCTTTATTTGATGGGGGATTTTATGCCTTAACATACTCAATCCGATTTTCAAACTTTAGACTGGTGATTTAGTTTATGTTAATCTTCAATTACTGATAATTGTGGTGGTGCAGGTCAATTGAGCCATGGCTTAAGACTAAAAAGCCCCCACCTGAAGGGCGTGAATACAAGCAGACTCCAGCTGAAAGAAAGAGACTAGACGGTCTATATGAGTGCATTCTATGTGCTTGTTGCAGTACTTCATGCCCTTCTTATTGGTGGAACCCTGAAAAGTTTCTCGGACCAGCAGCATTACTTCATACCTACCGTTGGATTACAGACAGGTTACTTATTTGAATCTTGATCAAGTTAATGAACATGAACGTTTTTAATTAGGTGTTGTCGATATTCACAGATTGATTGTTAGTTGGGTAGAGATGTGTAGTTATCACACTCATACAATTCTTTTTGCGCCCTAGCTTTTATATCTGATCCTATTATACTTGTTCATTGTTACTTGGCAGTCGAGATGATTTCACAGATGAACGGCTACAGGCATTGACACAGGATGAAACACGGTTATATCGGTGCAGGACTATAAGGAACTGTACTGCTACATGCCCGAAAAGCCTGAATCCGGCAAATGCTATTAACAAGATGAAGACTAGACATCTGATTTCTCAGCCTGTCGAGAAGATGGAAGGTCAAGATCAGCAGGCATTTGGTCAGGCTTAAATATTGTGGAGACTGGAGAATCGAGGAAGTTTAGTTTGTTAAAATATATGCATCTAGTGAAGTTTTGATGATGTTGTAATTGATATATAAAGAGAGCATTTTGTGACACTTTCAGGTTAATTTAACTGGAAATTAGACTGGTGTGTTCTTTGGCTCTTGTGCAATTTCGGTCCATAACGTTTTTCTCTTGACTATGATGAACTCAACATAACCTACCTATGGTTTATTGCGGTCATTTTTATAGTTTCGGTCCATTCTACCATTAAGTCAATAAAAAAGTAAAAATAAATTGCACCGACAACAAATTTTGTAGCTAATTCATTCGAAGAAAAAATATAGATAATTTTTGTCGAAATCATTGATGCAATTTCCTACGTCGTCCTGTGAAACTCTTGTCATTGGTTACTAAGCAGTCAGCTAAAAGTCACCTAAGGCTCTGTACTCTGCTGTCTCTGCATCACTTGCATACTTGGCCCAGCCAAGACCATCTGTTTCAGCATCAACATGGTCAGTAGGAGGATTAGCCTCGTCTGCCTGGCCTTTTGTCGGGTGGCTAGCTTTATTATGGGAAGTAACTCCTCTGTGAAAGCACTAGTTTTGAAATCAGGATAAAATTCCTCCACCCGAGTTAGCTACTCATTGTAAGAGAACCTCCTCCAATAAATGGCGATGTCATCGTACTCTTTAGTTATATGGAAATTTTGAATGGAGATGTCAATGAGCCAAGTAGAAACTCGAAATTCGGGCTCAGCTAAAGTAAAAATAGTTCGAGGCTTTTGCTCGACCAAAAAAATTAGGTTCAACCTGAGCTTTCGGCTAGGGTCTTATTTGGCTTGACTGGGCCAAGCCGATTCGACTCGTATTTTTCTTAACAAAGCAGCCACGTATCTGTCATGGCTGGCAACCACGCAGTTTTGTGTAGCAGCTACAGGCAGCACAGTCCAAAAATGACCCATAACACAGGCAAACACCCTAAAATGGGGCTCGATCCTTTTCTGGGAGCTATGAGTGGCCCGAACCGATGAGCCAAATTGACTTCCTTAAGAAATATTTAGGCCTTAACAATCTGTCCCTACTAGGAGACTCATTTTACACATTTTTTCATGACCTTGTCTTGAACCTCCACATTATCTTCCTCCATTGTGATCGTAGGGATGGCAGCAGGGACAAAGGGCTTCGAAGAAGGTGGGAGGAGGTGATCAATAGTAGGGGTTGACAAAGAAGAGGTCCTCCACGCCTCGACGTTTTTGTCTTCTTATGCCTCTCTTGCTGAGGCATCTCTTGTTCTTGCTCTTCCTAGATGAAGACTTGCCAAATTAGTCCTATCGAGCATGTCCTTTTGATTTTTATAAGCAGGGGTTGAAGTCTTTACTTTGCGAAACCTTTTGACCAACTATCTTAACTGAAGGTATGTTAGGTTTTGGGTATACTTATTTGACTAAATTTGTTTGCAAATGCTCTAACGAACAAAATCCTGGTGAAATTTGAGTCAAATTTGATTAGAAACACACCAATGAACTTAATCCAGACTAAATCTCAATCAAATTTGATTGGAAACATGATAAGTGTGTTTTTATACACTTATTTATTCACAAACATAACTTAATTATGATTAAAGAGTTTGAATTTATGGCTTAATTCTACATAATTATGTTTTGTAGGACTATATTGATGAATGTGGTGAAATTCAAAAAAGAACAAAAAAGGAAGAAAATCCAAAGTATGAGGACTTGTGGGTTCAATTGGATGCAATTAAAAGTCAAAGGGGTGAAAATGCTAGAGAAATGGCTTGAAAGAATAAAAAATCGATTTTGGGGGCTAAAATGCAACATATGGAAGAAATTATAACTGGGCGACAGCCCAGTTATAAATAAATACCGGGCAATCATCCAACATGATTTTTTAATTACCGAGAAGAAATTCTTGGCCTGAGCGACTGCCCGAGTTTTGCCTGGGCGACAGCCCAGTTCAATCACGGTGAGAAAAATCTGGATTCCTTTTCTGATTGAAATTCTTATGAAAACAAATCTTGGGGAGCCTTTTAAAGCTCTAGGGATGTCCAAAAACATAGACCATACATTATACATTATTTTGGGAGGATTTGAAGAGAAAGAAGAAGGAAGAACAAGAAGATTCAATCTAAAATTCAAGATCTCACTTTAAAAATTTCAATAGGGTGATGTCTTTTCTTGATTTTTATTGTTGTTTTCTTCTTCCTATCATGCTAGGCTAGAAAAATCTATACTAGGAGATTGATGAACCTTGTAATTTGATATTTGATTCTTTGTTTCGTATTTTCGACATTAAAATACGTATTGATTATTTTGAATGATTTATATACATTTAATTGCTTCCATGATTATGGGCCCGTAATTGTGTGAGTTTTGGTGGTTTGTTTCATCTATTTGAAAGAAGAGGAATAAATTTGACAATGTATAAATCATCGTAGGGTCCGATAAGGAATAAAAATATACCCCTATACTTTGCGTGAATCCTTAAGTACTCATAAAACTACATGCATTCTCGTATATTTGCATCCGTCATAGAGATATAGGTTGGTGGTATATGAGAATATGTTCAATTCATCTCGAGAGAGAGTGTTGGATAGATTTAGGAATATTGATTCTTCAAAATGTCATCGTGTTGTCAAAGTGTGGAATTAATGTTAAATTGAACATTACTTGGGAATTCATGATCCTAGTATATCTTATATTCATTGAATACATTTAACCTGAGTCCCAAATATCAAACTGCATTTTAGTTAAATTTAACGTTTATTTGCATACCATCCAATTCAAATATTGAGACTTTAGCTTAGATTAGGATTTCTTAGGACAAAAACTCATAATTGATCATTTGGATTTGGTTAAGGCCGAGATAAATACAATTGACCTAATCAATCTCTGTGGGACGATATTCAGAACTCTAAAAATTCACTTTATTACTTGTTAACGAGCCGTACACATACGGTGATTTAAATCGAAAGAAAATAATTTCGCGAACAATTTTTTAACGTCGTTGCTGGGGATTGAGCATTAGTTTGATTTTATTTTTCTAGGCACTAATTCGAACTTTAATTTTTAATTTCTTGTTTTTCTTCATCTTTCTAGGTTATTTTATTTTGTTTAGTTATTCAATTTGTTTGAATCTGAGTGCTATTACTGATTTTCTCGCAGAGTTGCATGCCAAAATCGACTGGAGGAAAATTTATTCCAGCTGATCCTGAAATTGAGCGCACTTTTCATCGACTGCTAAGAGAGACTAGAGAAGCACAGTTGCAAATGGCTAACTAACCGAACAACCCTGTTATTCTAGTCAATGAAGGAGAGGCGGTAGACGAAGGAAATGAGATTTTGGGATATTTCTTGATTCCTCAAGTAATTCAAGGCCAGTCCAGCATAGTGTATCCACCATTTGGGCAGCTAATTTTCAATTGAAGACTAATGTGATATATCTGTTCCAGAATGGACACCAATTTTATGGCAGAGCCGAAGAAAATCCACATACACACACATAACTCGATTCTTGTATATGTGTCAACACTTCAGGTATCAAGGAATTTTGGATGATGCTATTAGGCTAAGGTTGTTTCCCCATACACTACCCGATAAGGCACTTGAATGGTTGGATTTACTTCCTATTGCAAACATCACTACTTGGAACGAGCTGGCTCATAAATTCTGCACGAAGTTCTTCTCACTAGCTAAGATAGCAAAATTGAGACATGAGATATCGATATTCAGTCAAGGGGAATCTGAATCATTTGACGAAGTCTGGAATATATTCAAAAACATGCTCTGAAAGTGCCCTCAACACGGGTTCGACAAAAAGACCTAAATTTGATTCTTCTATACAGGGTTACTCCCGTACTTCAATAGCATGGTATACTCATCATCAGATGGTTCAATATCCACATGAACAATCGATGGAGTACTGGAATTGTTTGAGAGAATGGCTACCGCTTCAGCCATGTAGTCCTCTGAGCGGATGATTCAGAAGAAGCCTCCAGGTATCTATGAGGAAGATGCATATTTAGCCTTATTAGCAAATATTGGCTCACTATTTCATAAGGTGAAAAGTATATCACAGTCAGCGAATGTAACATATGCACAGAAACCAAATTGTGAAGAATGTGAAGCGAATCATAGTACGATGGAATGCCCAATTCTGTCATAGGGAATGGAAGAAGTAGAGTACGTGCAATGGTGTCAACATCAACAAAACTATTAAAATTCAGACAGTTACTATCACGGTTCGAAAGAACATCCAAATCTCTCGTGGGGTGGTACCCAAAATCAGAATAGATCTTAGAGGTAATTTCAGTAGGAGAAGACACTTCAATTGGAAGAGATGTTTGCAAAGTTCTTGGGAAAGACTGAAAAATACATAGAAGCAAATAACCAGTTCATAAGGAAAACTGAAACTACTCTCCAAAATTAGAGTGCCGCAATTAAACACTTGGAGGCACAGATGGGACAAATGGCACTTACTATGACGAAAAGGGCACCAGATACGTTACCAAGTAATACTAAGTTAAATCTCAGGGAGCATGTTCAAGCAATCACAACTCGAAGTGGGATGCAACTACCTAAAAGACACGTTGAGAGGTCGAGTGTAAACAATGAGACAACACTATCTACAGAAGAAGAGATTGTATAGCAAGACGAGGAGACATGGGAATCCACACCAAAGGATAATTCAGAGACTTTAAGGGGTAAGGCCACCATTCCAGTTAACCCCTATGAGCCACCCATTTCATGTCCCCAGAGGTTGAGGAAGCATAGGATGGAGCAGCAATATAAGAAGTTCCTTGAAATCTTCAAAAAGCTCCACATCAACATCCCATTCGCTGATGTACTATTCCAGATGCCTAGCTTTGCAAAGTTTTTGAATGATATATTATCAAATAAGCGTACATTGGAGGATCATGAGATAGCAATGCTAATTGAAGAGTGCAGTGCCAGGATCCAGAAAATGCTCCCACAAAAACTGAAAAATCTAGAGAGTTTCACTCTCCCTTGCACAATTGGTGATTTTTATTTTAAAAAAGCATTGTGTGATCTTGGTGCGAGTATTAACTTGATGCCACTCTCTATTTTTAGGAAACTAGGATTGGGAGAGCCTAAAGTAACTACAATAACTCTACAGCTGGCTGATCGATCAC